GATGGTAGCGCCAATTGTACTAATGTTCTCATCAATCCGTGCGTAGCTCTCGGTCACCCTAACATAGCACGACCGGGACAAGCTCTGGTTCCCTTTGGCCAAGCCTCCCTCGTGGGGGTAAAAAACTTCATGCACAAATGGGCAGGGGAGATTACGCACTCCATGTTTTCTAGACCTGGTCGCCCTAGAATTAGATGGTGTGCATAGTTGAGCTGCACTACCATAAATTTCATGTTGAGCGAGAGTTGATGGGTTCCATCTCCCACCCCAGCCTTAACCGTGATTGTCCCCTCTGCCTCGAATGTATCCCCATTAGAACCAGAAAATGGGGTATGAATCGGTTTAAGATCCGTTTGAGACAAACTCACCTCCTTAAAGGCTTTGTTGTATATGATTTTGACCAAACTACCCGTGTCAACCAAAGTCCGATGAACTACTACGTTATTGATCTCCACCTTTACTACCAGCGCATCCTGGTGGGGACTAGGCACCGATAGCTAGTCTTCATCGGTGAAGACTATTTGCTCTCTCCTCTTCTTCTTGGGCAGTGGGGGCCTCTGTATATCGGCCAGGGGTACCATGTTCGTCTACTTCTTTCGGGAGGAGGCCGAATCTCCTCTAGTATTTCCTCCCATGATGAATCGACACCCCCAAATGCCGTCGATTTTGCCATTCATTTTCGTCAAGATCTTTGCAGTCTCTTCCTAAATGCCTTCTTCCATCCACCTGCCCTTCCCCATTTATGATTGCGGATGGTCTCCTCCAAGTCCTGTTTTTGGGTGCTTGCCGCTCCACTCGAGGAGGTGGTCCCCTAGCTATCAGTTGCTCCATCTCCTTCTTCAACGTAACGTACTCTGACGTATTGTGGGTGTTGTTACGATGGTACTCGCAATCCTTTGGGGCGTCGCAGCACCTTGCGCACAACCCCTGGGGGAGTGCTGCTTGGAGCATAGAGACCAAAGCCTAATCGTCCGCTCCTTGGACGTCCCTAGCTTCTTTTTCCCATCGGGTGATAAAACCCCGGAGTTGCTCCCCCTTTCAAATATTGGCATAGAGCAGGTGGGAGTAGGGGAGCTTTTGTCTCTGGCTCGACGCATAGTGTTCTAAAAATTTGTGGGCTAAATCCTTCCACTAGTCGATCGATCCCCTCAGTAGCTTGTAAAACCACTCGCAAGCTTGTCCTTCCAAAGTTGCCAAGAAACAGCGGCATTGAATCTCCTCCGGATACACATACATGACCACATTTGCCCAGAATTGCAACAAATGATCTTGGGGATCGGTCGTCCCGTTTTACGCCTTGATCTAGGGAGTCTTGACAGTTTTAGGAAAAGGGCACGATATCACCCTCTTTGAGAAGGGGGTCACTTCATCCAAAACCACTTGGCAATAATGATTTTGGGCGTCCAACCTTTTCCTAGTCGGTCGATCGTTTTCCATAGCCCGATCGCATTCTTTTCCTCGATCGACTTTTATCTCCCCTCTTAGTGGGCCTTGGACATCGCCGAGGACTCCTCCCTTTGTTTTCGGAGCTGCTCCCTTAGATCCTCCTTCTAGGCTCATCGGTTATCTTGCAGCTGGTCGACCGCGGAGGTCCGCGGTTTCTTCTGCCTCGATCCCCCAGTCTGTCGAAAGTGGAGGCCCGCTCTAACGAGGACGAGTCGCCTTCCTCGTCCAATCTCGATAGACCGTCCTCTACCATCGCCTTCATGTTTTGCTTCATCGCCCTCTGCTTCTAGGAATGCCGGGTCTTTTTCTTCTTCTTTCCTTCTGATCCTGTAGGTCTGGCTATCCCACTGGCCTGCGCCCCTGTAACGTCATCCATTACAATCTCCTGGTTTGAGGTCAGGGCCGCCACCACCTCCTTGAATTACTCAGATGTGATCCTAATCCGTCGGATGAGGAGCTCGTCCTCCGTCACGCTAATAGGAAGGTGACGGCCTCCGGTGGTGCTACTTTACCCTTAGTGAGGGTTTCCGGTGGGCTAATTGCGTTACTGCGGGTTTGCACCATGGTTGCATGGAAGGTTTTTTCTTGAGTAGAATTCTAGAGCTCTCAATGAAAGCATCAATTTGATGGACAAGAATTCCAGCGAATGATCTGACTCAATGGGCGGATCACGAGAATATGATGGGAGAACTCAAGAATTGCAAAGTGTTTATGTTAGGTTTTGCTTGTGGATCCTCATGAAGGTCCCTCTTATTTATACATATCCCTATACACAATTAAGATGAATTTTTACTATGGAAGCTAATCTTGCAAATTACGCGATCCAACTTCCGCGGCTCATCTTCCGCAACCTAGCCGCGGACTCCTTTCAAGCAAGCGTGTTACCAATGGCTCCTTTATTCGGGTCAGCTTGGGCCCAATGCCTTCGGGCAACCCAATACATACCTTAAGATGTCTCTGGGTCCCAAAGTGCACCGCGGCACACGAGTTGGGCTGCCCGGCAGGTAACGACCCATCAATAATATTGTATTTTTTAAACATAAAAAGAATATTTATACAATCTTTTTTTAATAATGAAATATTATAAAAGATTAAGTGAACTTGGAACAAAAAGCACCTAAGCTTGGATGGCTAGGAGTTTAACCAAATGTCTAAGAGATCTTGGGTTCAAACTCTCATGGTGGTATGCTTTTGGAAAAAAATTGCAAAAAAAAAGGTCTGATCTATCGGTTCACACCTGTTTGGAATGGTATGAAGCTGACAACGGCCCAAAGGGCATAATCGGACTGGTTAGACCACCGATTTGTCCGTTCACGGTCTGAACCGGTCCGAATTATTAAAACTATGCATAAAACCCTTGTGTTCTAATGTATTTATCATTTTATCTAATTTCTTTTTGGCATATGGACCAAGATTAACAGGGGCGGATGCACGTTTAGTATTACGGGGGCCCTTGCCCCCAGTCAAATTCTAATAAGTAAGGCTTTAGATAAAATTTCAGTTGATATATTAATCTTTTTCTAATTAAAAAAACTGCCCTCATTAATTTTGTTTTAAACTGACAGCGCCCCACTCATTTTTTCTAAAATGGACCCAGCTTCCACTTTTACACATTATCTTTTAAGGAGTATGTTTTTTGGGTGCACACAAGAAGATTTTAGTCTTCGATACTAATTTTTTTCGTTTTAATTACTCTTCCACCGGAATTATATTCTCATTCCGGTTTACAAAGTTTGACCGAAGTTATTTTTAATTATTTTATTATAAAGTGTATATATTAAACACTACATAAAAATCTACAAAATAAGAGTTCACATGACTACATTATATATGAAATATGTAGTCAAAATAATCAAACAAAGTAAATAAAGTTTGACAATGTAAATAGTACTCCGTATATGAGAAGAACTTTTCCGAATAGATGGATCAGAGTAGTACGTTAAAAGTTTTTTTTTGGAATGAAATATATGTATAAATTCTAAAATTACAATGACATTTAATTTTTTATACTCTTTCACATTTTCATGTTACATTTTTAAAAAAAGCATGCACTGGTTTTCGTACTCAGTCGAAAGTTCTTGGATACAGATCGTTAATGGTGCCCCCAATTATAAATTTTTCTGGATCCGCCTCTAACCAAGAAAAATTATATTTGGGACTGGGTAGGGGTGGGAGGGGATTTATCGAGGATCAGGGAGTAAAAATTATATTTTTTGCGAACAAAACACTGTTGAAAGACAATATCCTCCATGATCACTCAAAGTGAGTGTACATGAAACTAGCTGGCTGTTTACTACAACGGTCTCCAATAGTTCTCTATTTTTTTAAGATGCAGCTTGAATATTTTTTTCTCTAATAGTTCTGCATTTTCAAACTCAACTTCCCACTTTCGTCTTTCTTTCCTCTCATACGTATATATGTTTTTATACCATTCACAAATCACAATGCATTTACTTATATGACTTGCAAGATTGAAATATAGAAACGGTATATTCATTTTATTTTTTATTTGTGTTCCCTATACTCTGATATACTCCAATATTACGGAGGAAAAATTAAATTAACATAAATAAATAGATTGAAATAGAGTGACACATGTAAAAGACTGAAATTAAAAAATGGTTTAGGCCCTGTTCCGTTTAATTTATTTTTTATGCTTTTTTCTTATTCTTATTAAAAACAGATCAGATCCAATCAAGAACTATTATTATTATTATTATTATTAATAGGAATTATTATTATTATCATCATCATCATTATCATTATCCTTATCATTATCATTATCGTGATTACTCCATACTTTTTAAATTCCATACTTTTTACTTGTTTCACTTGATACAATTCTTTCAAAAAATAAATTTAATTACTTTTAATGTATATATGAATTAAATATTTATTCTAATGTATATACGAACTAATTATTAAAATATTAAATCAATATTCTTATTTCATAAAAAAATAATCATAAAATAAACAATATTATAACATTATAGTATGAATGATTATTCTAATATATGCTAATTTTATTTCCTTAAAAATTAATCACAAATTAAAAAATATTGATTATATCATTATATGAATTATCATTACAATTTTCAAAATTTATTATAAAGTCAGATTAAATTAGTGATTTGAATCAAATTCAATCAGATCACACCAGATCTGATCCAATCAGATCATATCAAATCAGATCCAATCAAATCATATCAGATCCAATTAGATCAGAACTACAAAAAATCAGATCAAATCAGAAAAATAAGTTGAACAGAGCGAAGCCTTAGTTTGTAATTTTTTATGTAATATTTGTTGCAAAACCATTACTCCCTCCTCCTCCACAGGTTTTCAGGCAGCTAATCCTCCAGGCACTCTCAAACCTGGGAAGAGCTATGCAGCTGCAACAGTAGCTCATGCCTATCAGGGCTCTGTAATCAACCTCCCTCAACGACCAGTAGGCAAGTACAAATGGCTCCCTTGTATCTCATTCTCCAAAGAAGAGGTAAAAAATCTTGCTGCTAAATTCTCCAAAGCATTAGTGGGTACTTTCTTCTTCAGCAGACCAAGCCTGGATTTCATTCGAACCTCCCTAGAGAGAATGGGTTTCATTAGCTTCTCTGTTACACTCATTGACTCTACACATGTTCTGCTAAATTTTTCAAATGAGGCAGATTTTCATCGTTGTTTTAAGAGAAGGGAATGGAACCTAGGGTCTTTTAAAATGATGATATCAAAATGGACACCTAATTTTTATCCAAATGTTGAATCCCCAATCCTACCCATCTGGATTTCAATTAAAAACCTGCCTATCCATTTCCATGCCAAGGAATCTCTGCTGCAAATAGCAACTGTTTTCGGCACGCCTATCAAACTTGACAGCACCACAGAGAACTTTGGGAGGCCATCAATAGCAAGAGTCTGTGTTGAGGTCGACATATCTCAGCCCCAGATCAACAAATTTTTCATTCTAAATGGAGACCAACCAGTATTGTTGGAATGTTTTTATGAGGAGGTTCCAATCTATTGCCCAGATTGTAAAGGGATCTCCAGGCATATGGAAACCTGCAAGCATTTCACAAAGGTGGTTACCCAGACCAAACCTCTGGAGAGAAAACATGAACGGAATATTCCCAGAGAAACAAAGACGGAACCTGTGAGAAACACCTTCCAAAAGAAAGAAGACAAAAATCAGCATCTGAGTACATCCAGCAACCAACAATCTACAAACCAACAAGCCACAAATTCCCATGGACACCGAGCCACTACAGCCCCTGAAAATGAACCCCACCCAGCCCCTACTGCCACTGAAAAGGTTCCCCACCCAGCCACAAATTCCCATGGACACCCAGCCACTACAGCCTCTGAAAATGAACCCCACCCAACCCCTACTATCACTGAAAAGGTTCCCCACCCAACCATGCCCACATCCCTACAAACCATACCCCAACAACAAACTATTCCCAACACATCAACCTCAAACCCTCTGATTGAAAGCTCAGATCCTTCCCCTGTCCTACCTCACAACCTTATCCCTCCTAGCCAAACCCTTCCCAACCCCCTCCAGCCCAACCCTTCCAGCCCAATACAC